GGCCCTGAGATTGTGACCACAGCATGGGCCCCACCCAGGTGGGTGGACAGATGGAGACCTCAGCAAAGGTCTGAGAGGATGGGGGACAGGTTCCTAGGAGACCTGTCCCTAGGAGACCCCCAGACACAGACAGCACTTTGCATCCTGAGGCTGCAACTGGGGAGACCAGGGTAGACACCCAGGCCCGTCCAGAGGGACCCAAGGCTGGTCCAGAGCCTGAGCACGGCTTCAGGGCCTGGCAGCTCCGCCTCCCGGCCCACGTCTTCCGAGTGGACAGGCCCAGCAGGCAGACAGGTGAGCAGCTCCTGGTTCCTGGGTCAGTCTCACTCCTGGGCCCTGCAGTGTGCAGCACAGGCCTGGGGACAGCCAGGTACAGAGGTGAAGGCCAAAGAAGGCAAGAGACCAGGGGGCAGTGGTTGGTAGGTGATCTGGGTAGGTGAATAAAGGGACAGCGGGGACACGTGTGAGATGGCCAGCAGGAGTGAGCCTGGTGAGGGGGGTGGAGGAGGCTACAGCCAGGAGCGGGGCAGAGGGGCCTAAGGATGGGGAGGCGACGGGGGGACAGGCAGCAGGGCTGAGGCGGGCTGTGAGCACAGCCCACGTTGTGACGGCTCAGGCCCCTGGGTGCCCTGCTTACCCCCCCTGCTCCCAGCGCCAGGCTGGGCTGGTTCTGGGTCCTCTGCAGCCCCACTGCTCTGTGGCTGGGTTGGGGGTGGCCAAGTGGGGTGCAGGATCCATTGCCCCACCCTGATGATGTCAGCATCTTGGGGCTTCTTGATTGCCTCCTCCCCATGTCCCCCTTCCTGGATCCAGCAGGGTGCCATGGGCACAGCTCAGTGCTCAGAGAACCAGACTCCCCAGGCTATGGCTCTTGAAACTAGAGGGGTCTTTGAATCTGAATGTTTCTATTTTTAACACGTGCACAGGGAGGCCTAGAGGCCCGGGGACCTTCCCAAAACCCGAACTTGCTGGCTAAACCTAGTATACATAGCAACATTGGGGGCAGGAGCGAGAACCCCACCCGTTCTGGGGGGAATCAGGGGTGGTCCATGTGCACAGGGACAAGAGGGGCAGGCAGCTGGTGGGCTGGCACCTCCCCAGCCCTGAGCTGCACACCAGCCTGTGCTACTGGGCCCAGAAAGGCCTGGAAGCCCCCCAGCGCTGAGGTGGGGGCATACCTCCTCTGGGCTCACTCGAGGCGGTGAGGCCTCACCACTTTCTGTCCCATGGTCTCCGGCAGGTGTGTGTCCTGGCGAATACCCCCAAACCGTGGCCCCCAGGCTCCTTCCACCCCCCACCTCGTCCCTGGTCCTTCTTGGGTCTTGCCAACTCTGCTACACCAGGCGGACCCCAGCTTTTGGGGGTGGAAGGGGCTGGGGAGGTCGGGGGGAGGTCTTGGTTCAGACCGGGGGCCAGAGGGGGCGGGGCGATGGCAGGCGCAGCACCAGCCCCTTGGGAGCCCTCCCCCTTGGCATGCCTGTGTGGTGACCATTCCTGCTCCTAGTGCTGGGCCGTCCTGGGGGGGCACTGCCTCCTCCAGAGTCTCGGGTCCCATGTTTCTATTTTATTAGAATTAGTGATGTGATCTCTTCTTTTATTTTTGCTGGGGAAGAGTCACCCTGAGCTAACATCTGTTGCCAATCTTCCTCTTTTTTTTTTTAATGTGAGCTGCCGCCACCGCACGGCCATTGACAGACGAGTGGTGTGGTTTTGCGCCCAGGATTGGAACCCGGGCCGCCAAAGCGGAGTGTGCCAAACTTTAACCACTAGGCCATCGGGATGGCCCTAGTGATGTGATATATGTTTTTAAACTGAACTTTTAATTTTGGGATGATTGTAAATTCACATGCAGTTGTGAGAAACAGTACAGGGAGATGGGTGTACCCTCACCCACGTTCCGTCAATGATCGAGTCTTGCAAAACCGGAGGACAACATCACCACCAGGAAACCAACATTCAAGCCTCAGGAGAGACCCAGATGTTCCCATCCCCTCGAGGACCTACCTCCACTCCCCCACCTGGACCCGGCAGCGCTGATGCCCTCTGTCTCTACAGCTTTGTTGTCCAAGGATGTCACAGAAATGGAAGCAGCACATAACATTTGGGACTGGCTTTTCCCACTCTGCATAATTCTTTGGAGATTCATCCCGGCTGCTGAGGGTATTTCTGAAGTTCCTCGTTTTCTGGCTCTGGAACCTTGGCCAAGGCCCCATCTCTTGTGCCTCAGTCTCCTCCAGTTGGTGAAAAATGAAGGGGCCATTGCCAGGGCTGAGTGCAGGCGGCTGGTGTGCCATCCCGGTTGTCTGACAGCCCGCATTCTCTCTCCATGCGGCGGCGGGGGAGGTGGGGCAAGACCAGGGCCCCTGGAGGAGAGGGTCCCTCACAGGTGGAATGTAGGCCTGCTGCCCATGCCCATGCCAACCCTGATGCCCTGCACGGTGGCTCTGACGGCCACTTAGGGAGAGAGACTGGTTTGGCTGGAGAAGAGTTGGCTGTCCTGTCTCCTAAATTCCCTCATAAAAGCTGGTTTGGTGGTCGGACTTCCCCATATCCTGGGGCCTGCTGTCTCCTTGGTCCTGGGCTCCCCCCTGGTCTACAGGGCACAAGCGTCCAGAGGATGTGGACCCCATGGTGAGTGCTTCGGTGGGTGGGAGGTGCAGACCAGGGAAGGCTGCCTGGGGAGGAGGTGCCACGGCCAGTCCACAGCCAAGAGGAGCCACAGGGCAGGGGCAGGTGCCAGGGAGCAGGGAGGGCGTGGGCTCGAGACCCATACAAGGAGAATCCACCGGACAGGAGAGTGGACAGGAGCGGAGAGGGAGAGGCTGGAGAAGGGCAGGCTCCATCCAGGGCCAGCGACCCCCAAGGCTCTGTGAAGTCCATGTGTGGCCCTTCCACAGGCTCCAGGACCACGGACAAGTGGGTGGCTGTGCGTCACTCTAGGAAGGGTTCTCGGCCTTTAGTGCCAATGTGTTGTCTGGATCCTGACATCGCATGAACCACGGTGTGGGTGTGCGTGGTCACCCAGGGTGTGGTTTCTTTCGTTCTGAAATTCAATGTTTTAGGTTGAATAACATGAAATTTCCATTTTTGCAGGTCAAAACTGGTTGCCTATTGGCACTTTCATGTGGTTCAACCGAATGCTCAAACTCACAGGTCCCCCCGAAGACACATGCCTGGATTCTTAGATTTTCTGCCAGGTGGTCGTGGACGTTGGTGCTGTTTTTTCTGTGGGTCCACTCTCTGGAGAAGTCTCAAAGCTGTGGCAGGACTCTGTGGTGCTGGGCAGGGATCTGGGGCCCAGCCCTAAGCTCCAGTCCTGGCTCTGCTGGCCGCGTGGCCTCAGCAAGTCTCTCCAGGCACCTTTTCCACCTGAAACGGAGATGTGCACACAATCCTCCCACAATCCCGAGGCTCGGATGAGACGTCCAGGTCAAAATGGTCGGCAGGAATCAGCATCCCTCTGGAGCCTGTCCCCCCGCCGCCGTTGGCGGGCAGGGCCCCGTTGTGCTCACCCTGGTGTCCCCAAACGAGGGTCATCTCGTGAATCCTTGTCCCGTGAACAAGGCGTTCGCAGGGGCAGTCAGGCTTGCTCAAGGCGCTCACAAAGCTCACGCTCGCCTCCTCCTCAGAACCATGTCAGGTCTCAGGCCCTCTCTGGACCAGCTTCTGCCTTCCAGAGGCGGAAGAATTGCACTCAGGTCACCAACCCCAAGACCACTCTCCTTCCTTCTGGCCTGAGAACCCGAGTTCTGTTCTTCTACCTTTAAACAAAAATGACCCAAACATGGTGCTATGGACCGACTGTGTCCCCCAAGTTCAGATTGATGCCCTGACCCCCAGTGTGATGGTATTTGGAGGGGGGGCCTTTGGGAGGGATTAGGTTCACGAGGGTGGGGCCCTGTGATGGGATCAGTGTCGCTGTAGGAAAAGACACCAGAGATTTCGCTCTGAGCTCTGGCCAGCTCTTGGTCATGAGGACACAGCGGGAAAGCGGCCATCTACACACCAGGAGGGCCCTCACAGAACCCGACCCTGCTGGCACCCTGATCTGGAACTGTGAGAAATAGAGGTTGGCTGTTTAAGCCGCCAGCCTGTGGGATTTTGCTGTGGTGCCCGAGCTAAGACACCTGCTCTTAACATCCACGGCCTGAGACGTAAGAGAACGGCGAGAAGAGAAATCAGAGCTTTGTAGCTGCTCACACTGCCCCCAAGTGGGTTGCAGGACTGCAGCGGCAGCCTGGTACCCAGACAGAAGACCTGGGTCAGACTCCAGGTAAAGACGCGCAGTGTCCACGCTGACCGCTGATGGCGAGGGGCTCACCGTTGTCCTGGAGCCACTATATTTTACCTTTGCAATCACTGTGGCTCTCACTTCACATGCAATGGAGAAGAAAGGACACCCCGATGTCCTGAGGAATGTTAAGGCACGTGAGAGGCGACCGGTCAGGGGTGTGCAGGAGTGCTGTCTGTCTCTAAAAGGACACGCCAGCAGCAAAGCCTGTTTTCTTAAGACAGAATTTGGGAACCCTCATCAACACTTCCAAGGGTTCCAATTCCTGGAACTTGGGCCCAGAGTCTAAAATAACAGACGGATGTGAGAAACAGTTGCCCCTGTGCGGCCTCGAGGAAGCCTTAAAAGGGAAGTCTTTTCAGAAACAGACAATGGAACTGACTTATGTATAAACTGAAAGGAGAAATGGAAGTTTTGAAATCCTTCCATGTTTAAACACACATGCAGCAATGGGTCTACAGCTCAAGCTGTAAAAACAGATTAATCCACAAACTCCAAGTTCTGAAAGAAAAGTCTTCTCTTAAATAATTTAAAAAACACTGAGACCCACAAATTTACAACATTTATAAATAAATCACAGGCAAGTGCTGAATTACATTTACCATGACTTCACTCCAGGGCCACACACAGACCACAATGCTTTATAGCTAATTAACATAAAACGCAGTTAAATCTTAGACTTACACATGACTAATGATACCAACACCAGACGAGAAAGAAGGGAACCTAACGAAACAAAGCAACAGTAATTTTGATAAAAGCCGTTGGGCTGCAACACGCAGGTAAGTTGCAACACACCAGGGCCTGCGGGTCAGTTTACAGCAGTCATGGCTCTCGGCGCAGGGTGATTTCCTAGGTGGACGGTGGGTACAGCGGACGTGGGCCGTGGCACAGTCCCCATCCCAAACAAGTCAGAATTCTTCCTTTCAGGTCAGGTTCTGCAAGTGCCTGTCAGCTCCAGCCTCTGGCTCCTTGCCCCCACCGTGGCACAGGACAGCAAGTGGACAGGTGGGGGGGCTGCAAACCTCTGCACACTGGAGGAGGCTCTGCCTGCCGTCACCCCCAAAGCTGGGCATGTTCCCAGTCCAGGCAAATGCTGGCTGAAATCCAGGGACAGGACATTTCTACCTGGCCATGATGTGATGGTGTGGCAAGCCTCAAGGGTCTCCCAGGCCCAGAAAAAGATGCTCTTGAATGAGCCCACATGTATGGCCCCTGAGGTGCACTCCCTGGGGTGCAGACGGGAGCCGGGGCCCAGCAGTTGTCCACTGCCGCTTGGCATCTGCCCAAAAGCTTCACCCATCACTGGATAAACCAGGTCCCTTTGAGGGCTGGATTCATCCCAAATAACTAGCCAGAACCTGTCAGCTTTGCCAGTGGAAGGCCGGTGGGAGGCCACCTCAGCCGCAGCTCCACAGACCCCCCGAGTGACTCTTGCTGCAGCAGCCACCTCCCAAGGCGTCTGTCCTGGCCTCCCCTCTAGCGCGGAAGCACGAAGAGGAGCTGCAGTGCGCGCGGAGTCCCGGGGACAGGGGCGGCGCTCACGGAATGCCCTCCTTCCTCTGACAGCACTGCGAGGGCGGCACGGCCCAGTCGTAGACGTAGGAGAGGCGCAGCTGCACCTCCTGCTTGCACAGGCGGCCCTCGCGCGTCAGCGTCTGGTGCTTCTCCAGCATGTCTTCCAGGCTCTGCTTGTGTGTCACCAGGTACTGGTTGCTGCAGCCGCGGGACTTGTACTCGGTGTCGAAGCGCGGGTCGTGCTCGCGCTGCACGTCCACCGGTGCCAGCCAGGCGCCCAGCGACACGTCCTCGCTGTGCCACGCGCGCAGATACTCGCGGCTGAGGCGCAGGTAGTGCACCAGGTCGGCCGAGAGCACGTAACCGCCGCCCAGCGCGTAGGGCAGGTAGTAGTCGCAGAGCTGCCAGGCGGCCTCGCGCCAGCGGCCCCCGGGCTTGACGCGCCCGCGTCCCGAGAAGAAGCCCCAGTAGAGGCGGCGGCGGCGCGCGGGGTCGCGGGCGCGCAACTCGGCCAGCAGCGCGTCCAGCCGCGCGAACGAGTCGTCGTCCGCCTTGAGCACGAATTCGAAGGCCACGTGCTCGTCCAGCCAGGTCAGCATGGCCAGCACCTTAGCCGTGAGGTTCTCGTAGGCGTCGCGCAGCGCGGGCAGCAGCAGCAGGTCCCCGTGCCGCGCCTGCTCGCGCTCCAGGGCGCGCCGCTCCTCGGCGCCCAGGCC